CACTTGAGGCCAGGAGTTCCAGACCAGCTTGGGCAACATAGCAAGGCCCCATCTCTACAAAAAACAGAAAAACTAGCCGGGCATGGTAGCGCATGCCTGTTAGTCCCAGCTACTCGGGAGGCTGAGGCAGTAGGATCGCCTGAGCCCAGGAGTATGAGGTTGCTGTGAGCTAGGATGACGCCACGGCACTCTAGCCCGGGCAACATAGTGAGACTCCGTCTCAAAAAAAAAAAAAAAATGCTCTATAAAGATTTGAGCATTGTCCCCCTTTCCTAGAAGGACGATTTTTCCCCGTGTCAACTAGTATATGAGATTTAAGCCCTGGAAGTATAAACTGATGGAAAACTACTATACTAAAAGAAAATACTAGAGGCCTTTCCATTTCACTGCTTGATGCTTTCTAATGGGTTCATGTTAATAGTAAGCATATATTAATAGTAGGTGCTTAATAAATATTGTTTTCTCTGAGTCTTAATTCTTTCCCATTTATTCATTCAATATTTATTTACCAAACACAAGCATTAATCAAAAACTTATTACATACAGGCAGTGCTCTGAAAGGAATACGAACATGAATATAACTCAGCCCCTAACCTCAAGGTACCTAAAATTCATAACCAAGTAGCAAAATCTTGTACATCCTCAGCCTCTTCTCTGAACTTGTCCCTTCACCACCTGTTTGAAACAATCCCTGGCTCTCTTGCCTGAGGACAATGCTGCCCTCTCAATTCTTCATTTTTATTGTTGTTTCCACAGCTTGCAAATGACTTGGCCTGCAGGTGGAAGATAACTTCCTTGATCTTCTCACCAGTTCTCCCTCTCTTGCCCTTACAGTCTCCAGTTGTGAATCTCACATCATCAGACTTTATCCTCTATTCCTCATCTTGTTATCATTCACCAACCACAGGGTCACTTCCCTTATTATTCAAACATTTCAGGTCCTTACACACTGTCACTCTCTACAAGCCTATTTAATTCTTGGCAATTTTAATATGTACATAGATAATCCTTCCAACACTCCTCATTTGCTAGAACTCCTCTCTTCTGGTGATTTCATCTTTAATCCTATCCCTTAAGGTCATGCTTCAGACTACAACCCATCCCTGATCACAGTTTGTGACCTTTACTCTGAACACTATCTCCCACCTTTTAGGTACTCCACCTCCAACAATCTTTTGACCCCACCAAGAACTTCAATCCATCACTCCTATTACCTTTTCACTTTTTCTCACCCCCATGGCCTTTTCCCTTTTCACTCATCTTAAATGCAAAGGTCAATCATTATAATCACTCCCATGCATTCACTCTTAAGCCCCCAAGCAAGGAAGTTATCTTCACCAGACAAAACCATAGACTTAGAAATACCCAACTCTTCCCCTGCACTTACTCCCATCATGCTGAGCAACTGCTCTGGAGAAACCCATTTACCCAAACTGACTGGTCTCACTTTAAATGCATGATCACGATATTCAAGTGCCCTGAAATTCCTATATGTAATATCTCCCTAGTCTGTTAACACTGTCTCTCCTTAGAAAAATATTTCACACCTTCTCCTCTCCTCATACTTCGACAGTTCCAACTCACTCTTGGCTGATGACTTTACCTCTCACTTCAATAAAAAAAACTGAAGCAGCAGAACCTTCACAGATACCCACCATCACATCTCCTTTCCCAGCATATGTACCGCTATACTCTATTCACTCCTTTTACTGAAGATGAACTATTCATATATCTGTCCAAAGCCAATTCTTACCGCC